TGGGCAGTAAGGACATACAGTTTTGTACTGGAAGACTGGAAAGAACTGCGTAGCCAAATATGCACAGGCCTTTTGGACATCAGCCCCTGAAAAATACTTCACAGTCATTTATTCTAAGATATGGAACAGTTTAGCCCTAGAAATCAGAAACTGACTAGGGAACCGACTAGTAAGGCTGCTTGAATGATTTGAACTGGCTTTCAGCTGGTTGTCACTATGTGTAGCTCTAACGACTGATGTGTGGCTATCAGTCCTATTGAACCTGAGCTCTAGCCACACTACCTGCTGACTCTTATGCCTGGCTCACCCAACCTGATGACCAGGCTGCTCTTAACACCATAAATCAAATTCATGTAATGTAAATAATACTTATCCATGCCTGTACAACTGGTGTGTCCTGCATAGATAGGAATAAATATATATATTCCAACGGGCGAAATAAGAATATATCATTATGGATGCTGAGAGGTGTATGTATTGACGATGATTTTCAGAGAGTGTACAAGTAAATAATCACACCACAACGAGGCTGCCGAGCTTCGTCCCTTAAAAATTGTATTATCCACCATGTCCTTCAATCCACACAAACAAACAAATTGATTGTTGATGGTGAAACGGCTGAGGTCCAATTAAGTTGTTGAATCTCTTTTATCACCTACACCTGTAACTCCGCTATAGCTTTCATACATACCTTAGAGACTGTTACATCTTACTGTATACACACACAATAAAAAGGCACTATTTGTTATTGGAACGTATCAAATATTAGTACCAATAGGTGTCTATGGAGCGCATATGACTAGTGTAATTTCCCTGCATAAACGATAATGAAACCAGCTGCATAAATATATGGAGAAACAAACAGTATACCAATGTAGATGTTTACTGGACAGCAATGTTGAATGAATGTAAACATGTACACATACAGACATTATTGTTCTATTGCTCTATTATTGTTTATATAGTTTTTCTCTTTCTGGTACTTCACTGCTTGTCTCATCCCTCCTATTTTCCCTGTAGTTGAAGTTGCACAGAACTACGGTAAGATTGAAGTTAAATTGGGCTTCATACAGTTTACATATGCCGCATCATTCTTCAAGCTGTTGACTCGTAATCACTTACCTTCTTTAAAAGCTCCCAGACTACCATTTGAGGATACTGAGTAACATACTGTACGAGCAGTATTCGTGATCTAAAACAAAGATGCAAATGGCTTCAAACATTCTTCCACAACTTAATTGACTTACACGTACATATTATAACGCAGTCACAATTAGCGATAGTGGCCGACTTGGGAGAACTGACATCTATTTGATGCAGTAAAACAGTTCCACATGGCTCTGTCCAATATTGGTCCTCATCGAATACAATTCACTCTCGATGCGACCTTACGATGATACTGCTGAGAAAATGATACATATATACTACTCACTTTAAATCAATACATCATCTAGCTATAAAGAAAGAAGGAGATACGATATCTTACGCAGCAGTCATATTGGAGGATCAATTTCAGGATTTATTTTTCCCAGGTATTTACTATCCATCCACCAGAGACGTGGATTCTTTGTCAATGAGAAGAAGATATTCCTATGTTTACTAATGAGCTACACTGAAGGACTAGTTAGCAGATTGTTTCGGCCGACTTAAACTCTAGAAGAACAGCAACCATGAAAATTCACCATAAGCCCAATTTATATAATTTAAATAGTAACTTACCCATGTCTGTGCAGCTGGTATGTTCCTGCATAGGATGGAATGAATACACCAACAACCCTTTGATAAGGGTTCTGTTCTTGTCAGAGGGCCAGTGTTCACTGATATCTATGTGTCCCTTGGCGGCGTTTCTGGACGAGTTGCAGGTGATTATGAGGTGATCAGCCTATCTTTCCTCTAGTGCACCGGGTTTCCTTCGCTGGCTTCGTCTGAGTCGATTTCTTCCCTGACAGCGACCCGGTTATTTGATGTGATCTTATGCTGTCTCTTCCAATTTCATCCTGTAGTGTTTCAGTGCACCGTAAAGTAATCCCTTAAGTTTTCTAGAATCCTATTTCATTGCTACCTTGTAGGTTGTACTCAGCTCCCCGTCCGTTGTCCATCTTTGCATCGGTTCATGCTCTCCTTCCCCATCCCCTAATTTGCCAGCTTCCAGGTGTCTAAGGAGAGTCCCTTTTGTCCTGTCTCCTCCTCTTGGCCGAAATGCCTATGCAAGTTTAGAGAGAGTTCGGTTGTTCTCCCATACAGTGTTCCTCTATGACGTGGCTTAGTGTTTCAGGCTTCTTTCTTGTGACTACTGTAAAGGTGCCCGTTGTACATTTGTGGTTCGGTTTTGGAGTGTTAAACTTGAGATGCGTTCTATCTTCAGTTTCTTTCAGGACATTCTTATTTTTTTCGTCTTTACCTAAATCTGCTTCTCTCTCGAATCTGGGTTCTGGTAGGGTGTATCTACGCTTTGTTTATATAAATGTGAATTTTTTCTTCGTATCGATGTATCGATTCTGTGAAACATTTTTGTCTTATGTAAGTCGTTGTGCTTGTAAATACTGGCTACACTTGTAAATCATTAAAGTATCTGAGATCTACCAGGGATTCACTGATAGCCCCCAAACGCTATGGATGTCTGTTTCCGTAATTAAATTGTTCTTCCTGCAACGATAATAAACCCAACATTCGTTAGAGAGACTCTTCTCAAGGAATTTTTCATTTCGCAATTCACTCGCACGTATATGATTTTTAAGAAATTATATCGTCAGACATTTTGAAGAAAAGTTGTAAATACTTAGAATGATTATGTGAGATTCGGTAAAATGTTAGTCAAAAAAATCACAGTTCAGTATTAAACGACAAAACAGGTTATGTTATATTCAAAATAATGAATAGAGGTGTTAGTCCTTTGAAGTGGGTGTGTAGTAGTCAGGATTTATATTATAAGTAGGCAAATAAAACACTATATAACGTAGTAAGGAGTTTATTAAGATATATTTTAACACTGCAGATAACATCCTGACCTAAGGCAACAAATGGCACAAGTTAAATGATACCTCAAAGAGCTCAAATTGGAAATAAAAATAGTCACAATCTTAATATTTAGGAAAGGGCTGGTAGACTAAATAAGCAAAACGCGGATTAAACAAGTGTTTGACTCTTCTTCATATTAGATTGCGGTGATAGAAACAGGGACCGTACATGCTTCATTTGTTCACAGAGGTCTGGAACGTTTTCATCAATGGCAAAATCCTTCATTGTCTTTAGTAGTTTGAACGGGGGAAACGAGGCTAGTTAGCATGGGTAGTCTTAAAAGCATTGTTAAGGTTAGTTGGGTGACAGGAGTCGATCAGATGGTCTAGAATAAATCTTCCCACACCCTGCCTTTATCTTCTACAAAATCATACTGGAATATGCCCTCGTATCTTTACGGAAATTTTTCACTAGCTTGGACCGATGTCCCTTGCTCTACAACAGCATGTGAAATTATAGCTGCACATGGAGGTGACCAGACAAGGGTGCTTGTTATCCACAGAAATGGAGAACAGCTTAAATCTGGTAAACTTCATTTACAATTTTACAGCAAATAACATCTTACTGAGTGATTTAGAGACGATTTTTAGCATATCTGAAGACTGATCATCTTTGAACTCTGAATTCTTTAACATGTTTTTCTTCGGAACTGAGTTGGTGACCAGTTTAGATGAGGGATTCCTAACACTTTTCCAAATATTTTCATTTATTTGGTCGTTTTTGAACGAATTTACGATATGAAAACTAAATAATAATAATGGGGATAGTTGATTTAGATAAATCAACATGCTGGAGTTTGGAGATTAATCCACGCAAAAACACACATACGCCAGAGATCTTATACGTCCTGCTTCCTGGAAAATACAGAATTGTTAAGCGACAAAGGTATCGAAGGATTCTTTTCACTCATAGTTTTAATACAACTCTGTATTGTAATACAGATGCACCTCAGGCTATTCGAATTCTGTGGACACCTAGAAGGGCTTTATATGCTTTGATGAATACACTGTGCTTTACTGAACATATCAGACTTCGTATGGAATACTGTATTCAAGATGCTGGTGCATGCCCTAAGTAGACAGGTAAAATGCGTTAGCGCCAACTGGCTAAGTGTCATATGTGTGGTGGACCTAGCAGCTAAGTAAGTATATACACACAATTAAAAGGACAGAACAGGTACTAACAAATACGTATATATAAGATATTCAGTTCACTTAAGTTAATATACACAAAAGAGGACTGAGGTTATTTGAAAAAAAACTATAATAGTCACAAAATACAAAAATTATAAACGTACGAAGTTATAGGAATGTAATTGTCCTTTTCTTGATTATACAAATCCTCCACTACACCTTAGAGCTGTCAACCGTCGGAGGTCTCCGCGTGGAGTAAAGCAGATAGGAGCAAAGTTCTTGATGGGGATATGTCAACCAGTGCGAGACAGAGTTGGTCGGCAGATGTGCTGAGCTAGCCGCCGGAGAGAGAGCAACCGATTTCTTCCTTGCGCGCGGTTCAAGGTTGAATTCTTTTCAATCTCACCTAACAACCACGATTTTCATTGGATTCCTTATTTTTCGGTGAACATATAATTTGATATGTTTTTAGGCCGCCACATATGTACGAAGTAACTACTCTTATTATTTATCGAAGCAGGAGACTTAATTTTCGCTCATCCTATGTTAAAAAGAGATTTGTTCATTGATATATCGCCACTTTTGATGTTATCACCAAAAAGACTCAGAAAGGGGTCGAACAAAACATAGGTGGAATTTAGATTATCACAAAGGGAGGTTGACGACTAGAACGTTTTACCCTATCAAATGGCATGGTGAACGCCCTCAAGAATGAATTGGATATTCATAGAGATAAATATTTAAATGATTAACAAAACTCAGCAAGGTGTAACTATTATGTATAATTTAAATCGGAACCTGTTGTTTAGCACACCCTTGGGGTTTTGGCGCGTAACAGTCTGGTTTTATATGGGTTCGAGAGCTAGAAGTCCGGAAGGCGGCAACTGTTTGGCCGGGAAAGTACTAGTTGAAGATTTACCCAAACGGTCTATTTCTCAAAATGAAATATACAACTGGTTAAAGAAGTACGGAAATATATCAGGTAAGTGGAGTGACTGAAAACTGCATATGGTAGACTCAGCTTTACATAACTGGGTCTTATTCTACTAAGATGACCAGTGCATTGGCCAATTTAATGTGACAGACATGTCTACATTACTTATTTAATCAATATCCATTTATAATATCACTGGATTATTAGTAATTTATCTTGTGGCTTATGTGCACATGTACACTGTCGCACAGGAATCTCGTTGTGTTAGTTTATGAGAATGGCCATGCTACGACTAGTATTCCTAGTTCGGCCAAGTTAAACTTTAATCATCACTAACGAACAATGGAGCGCAACCTCACCAATGACTTTAAATTGTTCACTGAGCAAGTTAGTGAAACATGGCAAATAATGTCATCAATAAAATATCCTTATCGAAGTGCTATGCTATTAAATGGTATATCCAGCAAGTTTCACCTTAGGTTTGGCGAAGATTAAGTTGCGCTTTAAACCAGGGACGAGTTAGGGTTACGTTAACCTAATAAAGGCGATATTAGGGTTGGTCCGAGTTAGATTAAGGTTAGTTTAGAGATATTTTCACGTTAGGGTTAGGTTCAGGAAAGATTACGGTTATTTTTAGGGTTAGAAGACCTAAATAATTACATGCATAGAATGTGGTTAAATTACTCTATTGATACAAAAAGGTAACTTGTGCACTGTGAAAGGGTATAATTCCATTGTGGGTAAAATTTATTTTGATAAAGTCTCATAGTGTTACACAGTAATATTTACTGATGAGGTTCCGAGCACAATTTATTGCTCAGTAAATATTACTCTATTACACTATGAGACTACATCCAAATAAATTTTACCCACAATGGAATTTTAGTCTGTTGACACTCCAACCTAAAACTGAGAGCTATTTTTATCACATGTGAGAGGAAGGTATCCTCTGTAACACTTTTCTACAGTTTTTAGGCATTTTTTTCGTAAATACATGTATTCCATACACAAAAATGTCTCCTTCACGTGGTTGGTGCGTTTGAGGTCATTTGCTGATTGGTAGTTGGTGGTGCTTAAAGCTCTTTCTAAGTCTGTGGGAAAACTTGGGAAGAGGAACTGCGCTCACCAATTAAGAATGCTGTTCTTCGTCCCCACTCATTATGAAATAACAAGAAATTTGCTAGGTAGTTAGGAGTTTTCTGATTATCCTCATTGTTGTGTGATTCGTTTCCCTTTTCTAACAGTGTAAATATCCTACACTTATATTAAGATATATAAAAATAAAATCTAATGCATAACCATCTTGCTGCCTTGGAGAAAGATAACATCTTAAAATTTTCGTCGTTACAATTCCATTTTCCCCAACAGTCTGGAGGCAAACCTCAACCTGTGACTTAATGAGTGGTTATGATGAATGTAGTTGGAATTTTGTCCATATTCCACCCATTTGCCTAGTTGCTACTTACTGTTAGCAAAGGAATTTTGTTTAAAGTACAAATACGCACCAATAATTGATGACATTAGAAACACGTGTTTCATGAAGGCAGGTTTTAAATGAGCATCAGGATTTTAAGTTTGAAGACTATGTAATTGGTGCGACATTTCATCTCCGCGTACAAAGTCTGAAAAAATTCGGTCAAAATTGCTCAGTATACTATAAAGTTCATGGCATTTCAACCGCAATTAACTAATTGATCCTCTGATAAGATTTCACGTCAGCAAGCTAAACAGGTTATCACCTTTAGCACAACTCTTTCTATTCCTACTAGTTTGCTTAATGTGTTGTCGTTGGTAGTAGTCTACGAAACTTCAGTGGTCCTAATCTGACTCCAGCGACGGTTTTAACAGTATGACATCAGTATGTTTCGGTACGAACATGTAAATACAAGTATTTGTTGATTAATATTTCTCACTGCTAGAGTTACTTCACATCTTACTACATAACCACAGCCTGAAATGGAAGCAGAAATATTTCCCACAGCTGTTAAAGAATTTCTGAAGGTTGCCACTAGCCTGAATTTGTGAATTCGGAAGGTGACAGGTAGATCGTTGATCAAGATCTCTGTTTATACATTATCTAAGACATAGACTCAGTCCCAATTTCTGTCTCAGGAGTCAGTCGGTTCCCAACTGTCGGACGGGTTCTTCAAAATAGATTGTACAATAATATTGAATTTCAGTAGTCAATAGGTTTTATACAGGGATTGCCGAAAATGTATATCATGCTGATATAGGTGTTCTACTCGGACTGTTGCAATGGGAGCTGTAATAACCGCAAACAGCGTTCTTCAGAGACGCCCACTACTTCTATTTAGTCTCATAAAGTACTTATGTCTCTGGCTGATTATAACTTTGCTTACTACCGAGAAAGTCTCGATGCGGACGACGTAGATGCTCTAATGTTCTTGTGCGAAGATGCAAAAGTTTGCAATACACCTTAATCTTGTTGAATGTAAAGCAATTCCACAGAACTGGTGTGCACCGACTCCTAAATTGCGCATGGTGAGCGAAATGGTTGGGTATACTGGTATCTCCATTTCTTTCGTAATCTGGATCCGAGGCATTGCTGGCGAAACCTCGATACACATACAAATGAACTTTTTAGCATTTTCCAGCTTGCGTTATCTTTGATGCTGATGACACATCCAGCTCTCCATTCGGGGATATTCTTTCTTTGCAACTGTTTTTTCTGTCCTGATTTACTTTCAAGTATGTGTGAATGTCATATATCTAGTTACATTCGGGATCAAATGGTAAATAGAGTTGATATTAGGCATGGACTGTTATATTATTAGGGCAGGTTAATCGGTAATAGTATATCTTTGTTGAAATAGATAACTTGGATGTGTTATTCATATCGAACTCTTCCTTGCAAACAACTTCACTTATCAGTCAACTCAGATTTAATTGCCTTTTAGAACTTGCAGTTTATTATGAAATAGGCATGTATATCAATGGCTCATTGTTCAGTTAGGCATGATTTAAATTTATCTGAAGTTTGTAGATGTCATTTTTTACCTCAAGGTTCTTGGAAATACTGGTGTTACAAACATCGCACCGTAAATTTGGTGTCATTGTTGGAGATATCATGGTATCGGATCATCCAGTAAAGTGCCTTGTGTTAACTGATTAATTTTTGAGTGCTGTCACCATCGTCAGGCTACTCATGGTTCCATTCTTTTCGGCTCATGAGACATCAGTAATCTTATGTTTTGCTTCTCATTCGCATTTTAGAAATTGCAGTGTACTCTCGCTGCTTAGTGGTCCAGTTTGACTCCGACATTGAGGCAGCTGGCGCTGTTCAGTGTGAAAATGGTGCGTTACAGTTCGGTACAAAAGTTTCTGTGAAACACATGGAAGCCAGTGACTTGAAGGCTCTACGCCGAGCAGGACCACCAATCGATCGGTTTTATTTTCATTCTCAGCGACATTCGGGATCCACTTCAGATCGTGATCGCGACAGGGAAAGAGGGCGTATTTCTTCACGTCGTGATCAATTCCGTGATAGGAGTAAAACTCCAGATACCAAGCGTCTCCGGGATGTTTCACCTCGTCGACATTCAAGATCGCCAATGTGAGTTTAGACTTCTAAAACTTGCATAATTATTACTGTTTTCGTTACTAGTTGTTGTACGTAGAACAGGTAGTAAAGGTCTATTTGATTTTCAGCAACTTGCACAACTAGTATGCATACATGTTTAATTTCTCATTAAGTGTCGATCGCGATTGGGTGATGAATTAACAAAAAACGGATGTGTGGCAGTTCACAGTTTGTCACTGGGAATGTATACGTGGAACAAAACATCAGGAATGTTATACTTATCATACTTATCAAACTTGAGCGTAAGGAAGTTGTTAAATAAATACCAGCGATGTGAAAATTTGATAAAAAGTGAAAATATGCCTTACCTGTATTCAGGAATTTCTGACTTTCATCATTGGTTTTTGGTATACGCTACAAAGCAGCTTATCCTCTTAATGTTGCTCAAGTTAAGTCAGCGTACTGTACTTAAGTCTATTTCCATTAGATGTGTGCAGAGAGTAAACGTTTCTCACAACAGGGCAGTCGATTTCTTGTAGTACTGATCGATCAATCGTGACTTCAGTAGAATCCAAGTGAACAATTGCCTCCTGTTTTAAAGTGCCAGAATCCGTAGAGTTCCTAATATCGGAAGGAAATTGCTGCCAAATGCTGACCACCATAATAAATTGGAATGCACAACTTTATAATGGAATAATTTCACTTTATACAACACATTGGCACAATGTTTTTATTTACTATGTCGCTGTATACCGTTTTACATGAGATTATTATGTTGTTATGTTATTATACATCACAGCTACCAAGTTTACTTGGTATTCAACTTGTGGGATAGCCGTATGACATTTCTAATTTGGAAAGCAGATTGTCTGGCTTATCCTGCGTATTGGGAGAATGCCTTACAACGATCACACTTCTTTCCACCAACAATACAGCTTCATCGCCATACCTCATTCTGTTTCACTCTTATACTTGTCAAAACTCTATCGATTCTCTTCACTCATTTTCTTGTCTACCTTTGTGTGCTCTTTGGAACGTGGCAACTCGAACTGCTGCACTTCGGTGCTGAGTTCTATGTAGAATCCAGCCAGCTATAGTATGGATCTTTAATATTGCCGATAACTGCCTGTTGTCTTAGCGACATCAGTTTGACCTTTTTGACATGCTAGGTGGACTCTCAAGGGAAAGTCATGTAGATGCCTGATGCTTTTGAGAAAATGGTACATGTGTCACCGTATTCCATACCACATATTTGTAACCACAGATTTTGAAACAATTACATGAGTATCATATGTCACTACAGACCTTGGAAGGGATGTCATCCAACAAATTATGCCGACTTGCTGTAATGTGCCTATCGAACCAACCAAGATAGAACCACAATGCGACAGAAACCGAGTTTTATTGTTATATAAATAAACAACTAACTGACTGACTGGTTTCAGCATAGAACTTTGCACCGACGCGCAGTAGTTCGGGTTGCCACACTCCATGTAGCACGCAAAGCAAAGGAAGAAAGTAAAAAGAAATGCAAAGAAGTGACAGTAAAATTATATATAAATGAACATCGGTCAGTCATAATATGTTAAGCATGTCAAGTTAGATTCGTTTTTCACATTAATGGTCTCGTAAATATAAATCAAGAGGACGCATACTCCTCCTGAGTTCGAAACATTTAGAGTTAATTGTTTAAAGAGAAACTAAAGTATATTCTGTATGCATTTTGAAATACCCGTCGGCAGCTTCGATTACTCACCAACCGACTTCAGTTCAGACAAAGTAAAGGATGAATCTAATCAAAAGCTGTCTAGTTTAATGCTAAAAGTGGTTACCTCATATATATAGGTGTAGTAGGTAACCACAACATAAAATAATGAGTCTTTGCTTCCAAGTAATGCATTGCCCAAGTAATTTTGAAAGGTGAAATATGACAGCATCTATAGTGTGAAAGCTAGTAGTAGTAATAACTGCCTGTCCAAACCTCGGTAGGAAGGCTGGGATTTGAACCCTGTGACGTAGTGTTTAGAAGCCGAGTGCTTAGACGAATGCTCTATACCTCCAAATAGGATGTATTCGAATGTGTGAATTAATTAATCATGGTCTTTAAAGTGAAGTAAAACTTTTAGGTCTATGGCTGTTTATTATGGATGGTAATGTGTTGTCAAGGTATCCTTTTACTCTTTTTTATAACTGTTATATCGTTTATTTCAACTTCTTGTTTAACTACTTTTTTCTTCGTAATGTTGCTTTTTATCTAAATCTGAACAACTATTCTTTAACGTATTGGTTTGTCTATGTTCTGTTTTAAAATATATATATTATTTTGAAGAATGTGGTCTCAGTTTGAGTGCTACTATAGCTGATATCAACAGTCATGGAGAGAAGCTTCATGTTCTGATGAACCCGCACAATTCGTTATTACGAATCCTTTGTTGAATAAACACGGACTTGTCTCCTTCATTTGTAGTATGCCTTCTGATCTGTTGTTTTTGTGATATCAAGTTAAAAATGTTTGTTTACTATTTCTTTCCACTGTAGTAAATCGCGCAATGATCGCCGCACGGTTCATCCACTAAATTGGTTATCAGAAGTTGCAGAACGAGATAATAAGCTGTGAGATCTTAAAAATATTTAACATAATACTTTTGACAATCTTGTTTTGTTCCTATCATACCTAGTTTATATTTTTACTAAATCTATGTGTCATGTGCAAAGAAAATAGTCGAATCTCATTATCAATGGATGTATTTTATTTCCAGCACAGGGTGAAGTCTTTTTTCAAGTGTATTCGTTTTGGTGACGAGAATTTATCGCTTTACAGAAACCAGAATTTTCTCTAGCCTAAGAGATTCTTTTGGTAACTGCCTTCTCACCTGTCCAATGGAATCAGAGATACTTTGCGAATTCATGTTTTAGATTAGACAGGTTTCTTTGTTGATCATGAAGTCGTGATTTATGCATGCAATGACATTGTAACGTGATTAAACAGTTCTTGATTCATTTATTTATGACTTGGATTCCTGAAGATTTGCCATGTCATAGAACCAATCAAACTTGTTTATTTATTTATGATTGAAATTCCCGAGGTTTCGTAAATACGACATGCCATGTTTTTGTCGAATAAACGCTGTTAGTGTTGTTGCGTTTGAATCTGACCTGTGTCCATATCAGTGTGGAGGCATTTCCGTTAGTTGTCCATAGAAGTGATTATTCTAAAACGATTTTAGCAATTATTATTTCCGGAGCTAAGACTCAACAGATATGTGAGTGTGAAGCTGTAGAACGCATATTGTGATAGTTACTTTCATGAGAGGACACTAATCGAAAGTCTTTTATAAACTATACGAATCAATTATGCCATTTAACTCAAATAATCCAACAATTTTCGTCAACATTATTTCTGTAAGCACCATATGCACAGTTTGATTGGTGACTTGTCTGGATTGTTTTAAAGATATATAGCTGAACACATCTGCAACCGTTTCATTCAACTTCCAGTGATTTTTCATTTTCGATTAGTATTACAAATGTGTCAAAAATGTTTTTCTACATTTATCTTTAGTAATGGATCTAGTCTTCTTGGTCCCGCTGCAGTACCAACTGAGAAGCCTGTTGTTAACCCGCCTCCATATATGGTTGCAATAATAACCCTTCAACAAGATCTCGTTCCTTATGCAGAAATTATTGAACAACGTGTCACTAAGACTTTAAACCCATCAGGAGATCCTCCTATCACGCATATTGTTGTCCTGTTGAAGACTGAACATCTTAAACTATGTCTAGCAGATCTGACCAAAGACGGTGTTCCATTCGCAATTATATGCACCACGTCTAACAAGTCTCATAATTCGTGCTCTTTGCGTATTCTCTACACATCAACTCAGCATGGTGGGTAAATTTGAAAACCATTTGTTCTCCCTGTATATCATTTTGAGTCTATTATATATATAGCTTTCAATTATGACCACAATTCTAAGGTCTAGACTGGTTTCTGTTGTATGGCGATGACGAATTATCCATCATTAGAAAAGTACTTCATACCTCTGTATCTGAATTCTCTCTCTTTCTCTCTGCTATTATTTATTGCCCAAATAACTGCTGAATGAACATCAGTAATTTACTTACTTCCTACCCTTGTTACTTTTACACTTGAACACTGCAAAGGCAATCATAGAGTCAATTAGTACAACCCGGCGTTTGTCTGAAACCGAACAATGGTGTAAGACTAGTTAAATTATACCTCTATGCCCTACTTCAAAAATATCTTACAGTGTTTTGCGCATTATGTATCTGGTGATTTTGTTACAAGTACACGTCTTTTTTATTCACTTATGTCATGTTAGTATTTTGGATATTTGATCATGTGGCTCCGTTAGGTTTGAAATGAATTTTAACATATTTGAAGGTTTGTTCGCAGACATTGTACACTCCACTCAATAGTTGTAGAAAAATATCTGCGTTAGGTCTAATTGATAGGTGTTGGGATGATTCTCAATAATTGTGTTTTGTAAACCTTTTTTATCGTATTCTGTGCAAACATATTCCAGGAAGTCGGTAGTCATTCTTTTTGCTTCTGAACAATCTAATATATAACTTTTTCTTGAGCAGAACACCGCAATATGCCTTTGGATGATGCTATGTCATTACTTCATCGAGAATATACTGCATATCTGACGAAGACTACGAGTGAGACAAAAGCTGATCCTCCAGAAGATGCCGATTTCCTGCCCCCTAGTCGACACTTAGCATCCCTTCTCCGTATGTTGGCTGATTCTCGTGTCCTAAGTATCGGAGAGTTGGACGAAATTTCTGCCTTTGTTCAAGAACGAAAGCGTCGTCTAGAAGGTCATCGAACTGGTAAGTTCTGATATTTCTGCAGCTCTTGTAGTCATTAAATCAGTAAATTAACTTGTAGTATTCAAAACAGGTATGAGTAGGCATTCATCATTTTGTTCATTAATGTAGTGCAATTTTTAATTGTGTTTTCATTCTTCTAGAGATTTCTTAGTGGAAAAAGGTTTTTTCTAGCTCTTCAAATATTTTCTTCACCAAGTTGACACGTGATAATGTTCCTCAATAATGGTTTACTACACATTGGCTAATTCTGTTTACAGCATGATCAACCCGAAGAGCACACGAAACCTAGCCCATATGTGATCTGTGAAATGCTGAACAAAAAGTGATAATTTACTCACCTTTATTTATTTTCCCCCAGAAGTCAGATTGCTCATTTTTCACAGATTCAGTTTAGTTCAATGTGTCTTGTGGCTTAGTCTCTATTATCTGCAGTAACATTGAATACTTTCTGTTTTCAATTTTGACTACATTCAAAACAATGACTTAACTAGTACTCATGTTCTACAGGGTGTATGCAAAAATAAATAGAATCGAAATTATTGTTCAACGGTTTCCCAAAAGTTGAACTGGGAAGTATTCTGGTGACTTTTGAATTATTCACTAAATTGTAGCTCCCGATGCATGAGCTTCACAGTTTCTTCATTTCATTTTCTTCAAAAAATATCTGGCTTTTAGCCTATCGTTCTGGAGCCTTAATTCAACAGCACATCTCCATTTCATCCTGTTCTATAGCTGGCTTGACGGCTACCCATACGCTTTCATCTCCTCTACGTCACCCTTAGACGCCCAACTCTGAAAGATCTGAACTTTCTCCTTCGGTTTCTGGGTGTTGAACTTGGATGGCGATCTATCTCCAATTTTTTTCAAAGCTCTCAACTTGATGTTAAAGGTCTCCAGCACTAGATAATAATCTTGAGCGCATATCTGTTTACTGCAATTTTGTGTCCAGTTGACTGCAAGATGAGAGTTATCTGGTAATTTCGGCGTATCCATTTGATGAAACCCAATGTTACCTTGTGTGTATCCCGTGTTTGTACATGCTGCCTTTAACCACTAAATCATTGGTTGTCGTCTGCGTGATTGGGATAGATTAGTGACTCCGCTGTTATCAATTGTGTGCTTCATGGTCTGTCTGTCTGTTTTCGACATAGAACTTTGCACCGATGTGCGGCAGTCCAAGTCGCCACACTCCACCTAGCACACAGAGCAAGAGAAGAAAGTAGAAGAAATGTATAAGAGAGACAGTAAGTTGAGGTGTGAGACAAAGGAATAGTAATATCGAAGAACAATATAGTTTTGTTGGGTATTATAAGTCACAAGGAGTAGATGCATCTGCGCCATTGAGAACGATTTTGAGCCATATCACCAGTTGTCTCCAGCCTTCATTCAGAGGACTCCAACCAGGAAGTCTACATCTTCCTACTTGGCTTAGACTAACTGTTGTAGATTTCATTGACTGTTGACACGCTTTCTTTTGACCGCCGCTAGCTTTTTTCCAGCTTGACCCTATGTCAGCTAACATTGCCCGTCGAGGAAGGCGATGACTAGGCATACGTAACACATGTCCTAACCATCTCAGTCGATGTAATTTCACAGTTTCGCCTACTGACTTCCCCGCCTTACCTAGCACCTAGCACTCGACGCCTAACCTCAGTATTCCTCACCTTGTTATACCACTTCACGCGGGAGAGAGAACGCAGACACCTATGATCGAACACAGCTAATCTTTTCATGTCTTCTGCTCTCAATGGCCAGGTCTCATAGCCATAAAGGAGGACGGAGCGGACTGTTGAGCAGTACACACGCCCTTTGGTCGATAGTCGGATATCGCGTCTACGCCAGAGACGGCGTAAACTGGCATATGCGAACCTAGCCCTCCGTATTCGTGCTGAGATTTCGTCGGAGATCAACCCGTTGGGGCTGATGGTACTTCCCAAGTTAGTGAAGCGGTCAACGTGCTCTACCACTTCACTTCCTATTTCTAATCTAGGGGTCGGTGAAGTCCAATCCTGCAGCATCATCTTACATTTTACAGGGGCGAATCGCATGCCAAACATGCGGAGATTGTTGCTCAGGGTGTTCAGTAGACTCTGCATTTTGTCAGAGTCCTCGCCTAGAAGGACTATATCGTCCGCATATTCTAAGTCAACGAGATTCTCCCCTGGTAGCAAGTCAATCCCTGAGTCGCTGAAGTGTGTTAGGGTTAAGTCTATTAGTACGTCTATGATGAAGTTGAATAGGAATGGGGATAATGGGCATCCTTGACGGACGCCACTAGTCGTCACCACTTCAGATGACAACTCGCCGTAAGCCCTCACCTGGCTGCATGAGTACGAGTAGAGTGCCTTAATCAGCGCAATGTATTTTCTCGGCATTCCCTTTACAGCCAAGCATCGCCAGAGAACCTCTCGGTCGACAGAATCGAATGCCGCCTTTAGGTCAAGAAATATAATAATTGTTGGACGCCGGTAAGAATGCTTCATGGAGTGTGGCAACTGTAACTGTTGCACTTGGGTGCAAAGTTGCGTGTTGAAACCAGTGACTAATTGAAGGGTCCAATTCCATTGCATGCACTCTCAAAGGTTCCTAGTACCTTTGTACCATATCTTCACATTTTTTTTGCAATCTGAACAACCTTCTAAGTTTTGAAAGTCGTGTGAACATTCCATGTCTCCATGCTTATTTTGCTCACATTGGGTGACTGGCGATTTTCTGAAGGCTTTCAGTAGCCGGTATCATTCAGTCCCTGCAATTCCAGCGAGGAATAAGTTGAAATTTTTTTCGGTGCTTTGAAGTTTCTACAGCAGTTGCATTTATTTCCGGGATGGGGACGTTAACCCTACGTCCATCCTTCTTTTTTCCGGGGTTGGGATCGACTAATGAACTAGTATATATATATATATATATATATATATAAGGTACGGACTTTTCTTTCATCTGAGCCTATTTTTCTCGTGATGCCATCCTTGATATCCAGTTTGATCAATAAAGCATGACTAATAACTTTTTTCTCCCAATTTTTCTCCCTGTTGTCGGTCGATACTCAATATCGTTTTGTGTGAATGGAATTACTCTGTCGTCGTTACCGTTCACGCCCCTACTATCTTAACGCAACTGGTCTTCAAATAATAAAATGTAAACAAATGAATGAATGACACTTGAGTAGCTGTTGCCAGCAGTGAGAATACAGCTGAGCTCAAATCAAGAATTCTAAGCATGCTCTATCCTCAGCCTGCTACCTCTACTGCACCTGCAGTCACTTCTTCTGCCGTATCAGCTGATACTGCTCCTCAAACATCAACAATAACAGCCACAAGTATTGGGAATAAACTGGCTGAAAATTTAAGTAATCCTGTTGTGCAGAAAGCTATAGACACGTTAATGTCATATCCCACAAATTCTACTTCAAATCAGAAAACATCTGGTACTACAGATACACAGAATGTGCCATCAAAGAACACTTTCCGAAACAATGTGAAAATGCAACCTTCAACAGTCACCGGTCCATATCCACCAAATAATATGAAGCAAAACCCCAATTGGTCCTATGAAGACAGTTCTAGTTATCGTTCTGGTAGACCACCTATGCCGAATGACTTTGATCAAAGCATACCGTACGGACAGCATACAAGGCCGAATGCTGCATACATGTCACATGAGTACCCTGGTGAAGAATCAAGAAAGGGTCCTGGTTTTACTGATTCCAGAGGTCTAAAAGGTGCATATAGTTCTGAATATGAAATGCAAGGTATGGTACCAGAATCAAATGGCGAGTATGCAGGAGAAACTTATCCCGGTTGGCCTAGACAGAGACGAAATAAACGAGGTGGTAAAGTGGCACCAGCTGATTCATATCAGTATCTTGATCCGAAAAGCTATGCACGTCAGAGTATTGATCAACCATCTCAACAGCCTGCTGATCTCATGTCCACTGAAGTTTACCCACTCGGGAGTGTTGCAGAGGCATATAATTATTCACAAGCTCCCTCGTTGCTCGGTTCAGGCGTCCGTGGAAGATCTCAAAGAATGACTGGCGGCAATTCAGCATATAACAATTACAATTATCAAGCATTTGGACCACAACAACCGAATAGTATGAATCCTTATCAGCAACAACAACAACAACAACCTTATGGTTATACTAACCCATCTTCATTTTATTAGCATTTCTACGTTCATTTCCCATGATTAAATCAGTTTTCCATAAATATCATGTCCAGAAGTATAACTGTACTTCTGGTCACTGTTTCTCATCTCTTGTGCAGACTGTTCTGAAGAAGAAAATAAAAGAAAAAAATATATAGGTGACCTTTATAATTTGTGTTTTTTTTCCGAATTGAAAAAAAGGATTTCCTGTATAAAGTGTTTGTATATTGTGCGTGTTTGTTTTCCTCATCCTGTGCTGTTGATTAAAATCATTTTCAACCCAAAAAAAAATAATTTATTCGCAATAAATTTGTTTTGTTATATTCAAAATGTGTTCAGATGAAACACTGTTGAAATGTATTACTCTTCACATGCGCTTATCATCCCACTGCATTATAGCTGACAGTTGACTTAGTACAGTCATAGTTCGTCTTCAATGTTCTGCTATGAAAAGTTGAATAGCGTTATTAATATGACTTTTGTACTCATCTCGGGACATTATTATTATTATTATTTTCTTTTTAAGGAGTATGTTAATTGAGATATACCGTCTACATGGTTCAATATTACTACTACTACTACGACTACTACTACTTTATTTATGATAGTTTGCCTTTCTAATGTCTTTTTTCTTTGCTGTAAACATTTCTGTTATCATTGTTTGTTCAAAGCATTTGTGAAAGCAAAAAAGGAATATGATCTAACTAAAGGGAATTTGCAATGCCTTCATGGATAACCAACTAACTGTATGTTATCCTTCAATCTCATGATACAGTGTTGTTTTTACTACTACGTTTGAGTGTCTCTAAACGAAAGCCCTCGATTAAAGTCTGTTTTCTTGGGGAAATAAGGGGGTGTAACACTTTCAAGTGAACACTGAAACTTGCTGGTTGAGGTTGTTGCCTACTTTTAACGGAACACTGTATTCGATTTCCCTGGCCCATGAATAACCAAGCTAATCATTATTTAACTTGTCTTTCTGTGAAGCAACATTACGGCGGTTTTTCATTTGGAAGCTTCTGTTGTAGAAATGTAGGCGAAACTATTAGATTTTGAGCTGTATATCGCCTGACTATCATCAGATACCAGGAGTTAGCTTAAATCTTAATACACACCTAATTCTCAAATCATTCTCACTGTTTTTTCGATCGATAGCGATCACTGGAATCTTTGATATAGGTTTCGTCCCAGTTAGGAATGCGTTAGCCAGATTGTACTTGCACCTTAGTAAGTGGTCGTATTGTCTCTGAGACTAGAGCCCTAGCGCCCATCGTTTCGCATGTCAAAGTGTTACGCTTCTGTAAAATGAACAGTACAGTACTGTTACCTAATTTGCTAGTTTCTAAAACCATTAGTGTAATTACTGAAGAATAAACCAAAGATTGCAGTTAATACTGATTTCTAAAAGCACATGTTTTATTTGTATTGTAAAACTTTTGATGAATGTTTCCCGAGTAATTCACTGTATTTTCTAGTGGGCAAATACCATTTAGCTTTTTTTTCAGTGCGAAAATCTCTTTGCAACTTTTTGGTTGCATTTGAGAATCTCTCATTAATTTCAAATTTCTTGAGAGTGTGACTTACAGACTTGGTCGCTTGAATTACAGCTAAAACAGATTGGGTTCGTATGTCGCCTAATTGACAAGCTGGGTGGTAGTGTCACCAATCCACATAGCATATCCGGCTAATAGCCTACTACATGGAATGTAGCTGTCCCGTGTAAATGAGTGTTCTGATAAACTGACTTAGTTGGAATTCATGGACAATTAGATCGGGTCCCAGTGACCTTCACTTGAAGGTCTACGAGCTCGCCTTGTAACGGTAGGTTTTTGGGTTCGAGCCCCAGTGAGCTCGGACTGACGAGGAGTCCCAAACTAGGACGTAACAGCTGTCCTGTACTCCCTGATTGGTTTTCCAATGGTTTTCTAACCGATTTCAGTCCATGGTATCAATGTTCGACCTGTTATATTTGGGCTACCGATATCACATGCTTAAAATTACATACTGCTGCCAAAATACTGTGCGGAATCCAGCTATAGCTAAAAAAATAATGAAATCCTGTAACTGACTTGCAGTTGTTGGTTGTTAGAGGGTCTTGCAACCGCCTAGTCTTCTGTACTGGTCTGTGAATAATGCGGTTGACTGTTTAATATCGCATTATTACTTGTTAAAGAGATCCTGTGGTAGACTGCACATGAGGGGCATAGCTTCTGAAATAAACTACAGAAAAATTCATTTTCGGTGATTCACCCACCTCCGGGCGTTTTGATGGACATAATAAAATGTCTATATTGGCTGACTGATTTTCCTTTCCGAGTAATCCATTCAGTTTCGCGTGAATTCTCATCCTTATTGTAAAGTCCATTTATTTATTCTACCTGATCTTAGCAGCATTCTTTCAAAAAAACTCTACATTTAAGTACTGTGTAACATGTGAAAAAATTTTAAAAAACGAATTCTCTTTCTGATGACCTGTTCTTCATCTTCAGGTTTTACAGTATGTATGTGCAATTTTTAATAACACTGATACATAATTAGTATCACAAATTCATGATGGATATGTGTGTGAATAGATTATTGGCTATTGATGTCAGGTGAAAACATGTGCATATATATATATATATATATATATATATATATATGGTTATATGCAAAGCCTGTTACACTAAATGATCATCTGTAGCACTTAATATACACAAGCCGTGAATGTTCGTCCGTGATTAATTTTTTTTGAATTGATCTTCTGTTATTTGATCTGATTATTATAAACTGCTTATGAATAATTGATAACAATAAAAACAGTGATTGACAACAACGTGTGAGAGGTGAATTAAGAAAAAAGAGTTTGGTCAAACACGTAACAACAAGAGTAAGGCATAGGAGGAAGGATTTACGCAAACAGAAAGCAGGAGAAGGAGATTACACCCGGAAGCTGTGGCGTAATACACATCATTTACGAGTTTATCGATTCTTCAGCAGACCTGAGTAGAAACAATGGCTGAACTTGTTTCCTATGTACTGACTTCTGCTGTTTTGAATGCTCGACACCTGGTGGCGTTCAACAATTATCTTATGAAAGTCAAAACTTCGTGTGAAAAGAAACAAGTTCGGCTTACTATTGTTACCTTGGCAAACTGTTAAGTGTATATTAACGCATAGACGCGTCATAGGTGTCACACTTAAAAGATGTGACTTATACGACAATTTCAATTATAGCAGTAAGAGAATATCTCCTTCATTTGAAGCTCCAGTCCTTAGTGTGAGTGAACAGTGTGGCGGAGTCTCTTTCGAACTCGGACAAAACAGACGTCCAGTAATCTCTAGTTCGTATTGATTCTCTAACAAAAATTAATTCGTAATAAAATTCATCTTGAATTCCCACTCTCGTCATTTTTCCAAAGGTATACTGAATTTCAAAACACTGTAGAAGCAGAAAAGTACAGTTCTGTGGAAACATTTCTGATCTAACAATTCTTCGATTGAAGTTGAATCCAGTAGCTACTCTACTCCAAAAACTATCATTGAGGGGGCAATATGACAGTCGATTATGATAATGACTTGTGTGTGATCTTATCCGGTAACCAAACTGTTCAAAGATTCTGCTTTCATACAAATCCTCAATGGTAATGATAGTTTTCTACGAACTCAACAATTATCCGTGATTATTTATAGAATATACAAGTTAAATATTATGGAGTTTAATGAAAACTAGTTAGTGTATGGAATACGTCACTTTTCACAATGCCTCATTACTACCTTTTTGTCGAAGATTGCACAACCTGTTGGCGCGAAGTGAAATTTTCTCCTGTGCTACTCACTGTAGCTCGGACGGCTGTTTTGTTTTTGGAGGGGGTGCTTACACATGGGTTTCACGAATTGGCTAACTCATGTCTATCGAAGTATGACCACACTTATTTGCCAACCCATTTTGTTTTATACTAATAGCCTTGTGTCAAGTGTCTGGGATTTCCATCTTTTCATTCTCATTGAAAGCGTATTATGTTAAGGAAGCTTTATGTTGTCGTTTGTATAAATTCATTTTGCATAAATCTTCGATTTACGTTAATGGTTCAAGCGTAGAATGTCCACCAGTCATGCACGTGGTTCCGGGCTTGATTCCTGGCTGACCTACTTTTAAACCTCGCCTAGTTTACTAGCTGATAGTCATCCAGGAAAAGAGGCATGCTCAGGTGTGTGAATCTGGCAACCCCACCCTGTTAAAACACTAGCGCTGCTATAAACTCAAATTTAGGGCCCTATTTTCCACTCGGAACACTAGGCGAAGGAGAGTGTCCTTTGATAATGCATTCTCTACATGTTGTAACGTTCACTGTTTACAGTGGTCGCGCAGAAATAAAATAATTACGTACATTGTGGTCCGGCGCATAAATTATATTCGGTAAGTCAGTAGAACTAACTGTCTCAAGGATAACCTCATGGTTATCTCGTTGAATTCGAAGTCGATCTGCAGATCTCGGAACCATCTGAATTGATATCTAGAAATGGTTGAAACTCGGGATATAAATAGTTTCATAACAAGAAAACCAAAAATGAATGGAACTTTTCATAGGTTTATTGCGTAAGATGTAGTCGTAAATTTTCCAGCTTTACCAATGGATAAACATCGACAGATTTCTCGTGAACCTGATAAAGTTCAGCTTAGACAATGGAAAACATTCTCCACTCATTTTCGATAACAAATTACGTAATATAGAAAGTGTTAGGAACTAAAATAAGATTAAATAAGCAGGTTGGTTGACGTAATCCAATTGACGGGGTTGAGTAGAGCTCAGCTAAAATTAAGATTGAACAAAAGTTAAGTTAACAGCAGTGGTAATAAACAGTAGAGATTTCATAATGAATGAGGGAAGAAAATATACAATTAAGAAGCACAAAAAGATGAAACATTATTTACGTATTTGATGTTAAGATAGAACAGGTCCATTGTAGATCTAACAACTGTGAACAAACTTCTTTTGTATGCAGAGTTCAGGATTTAATATGTGAATCACCATCATTGATTCTGAGGTTTGAAGAAGCTTGATTAGTACTCATTTAGTAAGATTCCCGCGTACTCTGTAGATGACTTTGAAATGGGCTTGCTTGGTGTCTCGTGAGAATCTTGGTAAATGAGTACTAAACAAACTTCTTCAAACCTCAGGAGCAATGGCAGTTTACATGTTAAATCCTGAACTCTGCATACAAAAGAAGTTTGTTCACAGTTGTTAGATCTACAATGGACCTGATCTATCTTAACATCAAATACGTAATTTTTGTTTCGTCTTTTTCTTGCTTATTTGATTT